ACCTTCTGTGATGGAGTAGGGGCTGAAGGATGAAGTAGGAGCTGTTTTAGAATAAAAAGGACTTACAGACATAATCAAATATACTGTGTGAGCTTTGTTTGGATCCTGGTTAAGACAAACCAACTATAAACGAAGATTTTTGACACAACCACAGAAATTTGTTTATCGAATGAGTGAGGTAATGGTATTGTGGTATTCTATGTAAGAAAACATCCATATTTCATCAGATGCACACTGAAGTACACAGGATAGAATGATGACATCTGAGATTTTCTTTAGGTTAAAAAGAAAAAGAATGGAAAATAATTTTAATCCCTAGAATCTGCTTATTTAGAGTTAAAAAATTATGTCTAAGCTCTGGAATATGGAACACAGAGGAATGGATACTACTTTTAAAACGTGCTTGTTATTCCTCTCATCCTACAAAATGCTGAACATACAGCAGGCACTCAAAAAGTACTGAAATATCAGAAAACCTTTTTTATATTTATGAGAAATCATTTCTTTCATAGTCTCACTTATCAGTTTCCCTTTTTCTACCAACCTAATCCCTAAAAATATCTAGAAGTTCCATTAAGAAGTATCTACATATTCGGCAGCACCTGTGGCTCAAGGATAGGGGGCCAGCCCCATATACCAGGTGTGGTGGGTTCAAACCTGGGCCCCGGCCAAAAACTGCAAAAAAAAAGAAAAGTATCTACATATTTCACGAGTTATATACATACATATGGTATCTCAATTTTTCAAGGCAGAAAATAAAAATATGAGTAAATCTATACCTAATATGTAAGTATTCATTTTCTACCACTTAGTAATGTATATGTTTAATTCTGCTTAAGTTAAAAAAGAGGCATGTTTAAATTTTTGTCTTTAGAAATTTGTGAAAGTTAATAATTATGGATTTCATATTTATGTAAAAAAAACCCACCTGAGTGTTTATTCTATTCCAGGTACTATCCCCATGGACCTTAAATGTATTAACTCATTATTAAAACAAGTAGACATTCTACTAGTATTATTTCTCATTTGATAGATAAAGCACAGAAGGGAGACACAACTTAACTCAAGGTCCTGCAGCTAAGATACAGCAGGGTTAAGATTCAAAGACAGTATAGCTCCAGAAACCCTTACTTACCTGATGCTGTTGTCTGTCTACTCAATTCCAGTATTGGAAGCTGGATTTCATCATTTCCAAAGTGCAAATGAGGAAGAAAAGCAATAATGACTAGTAAAACTTACCTTTTGAATGGCCTCTTCCATATCCAACTCAAATTGTTCACTCTGTAATAATCTGAGGAATCTCCTGTGCTCAACATAGTTATCATTTTCATTCCGCTCCATTTGATTCCTGATTTGACTGTTTATGTTTTTTAGTGCTTGGATATGCAAGTTTCTGAAGTAGTTTTCATCTACCGATTTCTGATGCTTTTCACTAACACTCAAAGGTCTCCTTTTGGAAGCCTATAATGGAAATAAAAACATATGCATATTTCAATATTCCAAAATCTAGTTTTTAAAAATATATTGATGTAAGTCCCAGTAACAAATTATGAAAAAGGGTATTTGACTTCCTTGCTGAATCCAGAGTATACCTAATAAAGATTAAGGTGGTAGGTGGAGATATTGATATATCAATTAAATAGGAACGAACATTATTCCCTATTTTACAGATGAGGCATAAAAAGTAAAAGTTAGGATTCAAAACATGGAATGGCGCTCTACAGACCCCGCTCTTCACCACTACCCAGGGAACTCATTCCTCTTCTGACTCCACCTACCCTGGGGCCAGAAAAACTGTTCAGAAGTTAGGTTTTCATAATATAAATACAGTAAGTCAACCTCATTGTTACTCATTCGCTCTCTCCTACACTTCTGTATCCACTCGTTTAAAGAGTTTCTATGGGGCATATTTAAAGACGTATCTACTGCATTACGTTAAACAATACAGAAAAGGTTGGAAATGCCGCGAACGTCCCTTAAATAAGGGCACCTGAAGCCTGGAAAAGCAAATAAAAGTTTCGCACTTAATTCTCGTAATAGGCACTTCGAACCCTTTTTTTAGAAGCAGGCAAGCTCTAAACTACAATTAAATCAACACAAAATAGTTTCAAGTCGCCACTATCACCACTCCCGCGACTGGCTCACCATTTTAGCTGGCGAAAAATCCCGGAGAGGAGCTCCGCGGCGACCTCGCTCCTCAGGTTAACGCAGCAGCCAGGGGCGCCAAGCAGCTCCTCCCGGCGGCGCGCGCTCTGCTGTTGACGCGGTGTCTTGGCAACGGACGCCGAGCGCCAAAAGTCCGCAAACGCCCACCCGCGCAGGACGTGGACTCCTATTGGACGCGGAAAGATCCAATAGTCGTTGAGTTTCTTAGGCGCGGAGCCGAAGGGCTAGTTCTCCGGGCCTAAACTAGAAAGGCGGGAAGTTGCGATCCCGTGTCCCGACGCAAGCTCTTTGCGGTCGGCTAGGGAGCTGAAGAGTTCCCTCGTGCGGCTACACTCCGTGCTTTTAGGGGAGATTGGGAGCCTTGTCGAGAAATATGCAAGCTACTGTGCAATACGTGGGGCCGCAGGCAGTTTCCACTCACAAAACATCCTGCACTCTCAATGCCTATTCTGTCCGGGCTGATGACTTGGTTTTGTCCGCTGCAGGAGCCCTTAGGTCGCCGTCCCTGGTACTGGGTTATTGGGAAGCTCATACGTCCAGGAGCTTTCACTTCACCCCTCGCTGAAGCTATTGGTAAACTTCTGGAATAAAATGTATGAGCCACATGAATCTTACTAAGCTATGTGGTTCAAATGCCAATAAGAGAACAGATTAAATGATTTTTAATATTTTTCTTTTCTTTTCTTTTCTTTTTTTTGAGACAGGAGCCTCAAGCCGTCCCCCTGGGTAGAGGACCGTGGTATCTCAGCTCACAGCAACCTCCAACTCCTGGGCTCAAGCGAGTCTTCTGCCTCTGCCTCCCAAGTAGCTGGGACCACAGGCGCCCACCACAACGCCTGGCTATTTTTTGGTTGCAGCCATCAACCAAATTTGAACCCGCCACCTTGGGTGTACGTGGCTGGCGCCTTAGCCACTTGAGCCACAGGCGCTGAGCCAATATTTTTCACTTCTAGCTTTTCTTTGAGATTCTTAGGATTTCCATCTTTATAATTATTCATTTGTTCTTGCATATTGTCCACATTTTCTATCCCTTGGCATAGTAATGATTGTAATTATTTTAAATTTCCATCTAATCGTCTTCAAATGTGTCATATCTGGATTAGGTTCTGATACATACTTTGTATTTCAGTCTGTTTTTCTTGCCTTTTACTAACCTGATTTTAGCCTTACAATTTTTTATGGAGAGCTGAGGATGATGTATTGGCTAATAGGAACTGAGGCCTTAGTGTGAGGTATATGTTTTTATATTTAAAGTAGCTTTCCTGTAGATAGCATATAGTTGGGTGTAGCTTTTATATTGTATTTGACTATCTTTTAATTGGTGTTTTTGTGCTATTTACATTTAATGTCATTGACATGGATGGATACAAATCTACATTTTGCTAGTTTTAAAATAGGTTACATCTGTACTTCGTCTATTTTCTTTTCTTTTTTAATCTTCCTTTTGATTATTTTAGTGATTCTGTTTTATTTTCACTATTATCTATACGTCTTTACTTTTTAGTGATTGCCCTAAAATTTACAATGCCTATATCTGTATTGGAGATACAGTATTTCCATTAAATACTGTAATTCTGCCTCATTTGTCATGTGTAAACCTTAGAACAATACATTTCCAATTACTCTCACTCATCTTTTGGACTATTATATATTTTGCTTTGGCATATGCTATAAATTCATAGTACATAAGTTTTCACATATGTTAGATTGTTTAATGTCTCAAAATTTGACTGAAATAATCTATTAATTTTCCTCAAATGTTTCTTATGTTTCAGTTTGGATAATTTTTATTGATATATCTTCAGATTTACTGACTCTTACCTCACCTGTGTCAAGTCTTCTGATGAGCCTATTAAAGGCATTTTTTTTTTTTTTTTTTGAGACAGAGCCTCAAGCTGTCCCCCTGGGTAGAGTGCCGTGGCATTACAGCTCACAGCAACCTCCAACTCCTGGGCTCAAGCGAGTCTCCTGCCTCCGCCTCCCAAGTAGCTGGGACCACAGGCGCCCGCCACAACGCCCGGCTATTTTTTTTTTTTTTTGGTTGCAGCCGTCATTGTTGTTTGGCGGTCTGGGCTGGGGATTTGAACCCACCACCTTAGGTGTACGTGGCTGGCGCCTTAGCCGGTTGAGCTATAGGCGCCAAGCCAATTATTAAAGGCATTTTTAATGTTCATCACTATTTTGTTTTATATCTAACATTTCCATTTAAATTTGTACTTCCCAACTTTTCTGCTAAAATTACCCCTCTTTTTCACATATATTGTCTACCTCTTCCATTAGATCCTTTAATATATTAATCATAGTACTTAAAATTTTCTAATAGTTTTACCATCTGAGTCATATGTGAGTTTTGTTCACTTGACTACTTTGTCTTTTCATACTTTTTACAATGTTTTTTCTTTTTTATGGCTCTCATAATTTTTGATTAAATATCAGACATCATGTGTAAGACAGTAGAGACTGAAGTAAATCATATTTATGCCTAAAAATAAGCACACCTCCTCTTCTGCTAGACTGTTATTGCAGGGGTTCAAGTCAGTGTAGTCAGAAGTTGAGCAGGATTTGAACATTGTTGTTGCTATGGTTATTTTCAGTGCACCACTATTTCCAAAGTTCTCTTGTATTGTCTTATGCTTATATTGGGGCCTATTTTGCAGAAGGCTTTCCTCAGTGTTCCTGAATCAGCCTTACCTTGCTCCTCCACCTAGCAGTAGATCACTGTCCTTTGTTGCTCATGATTGCTATCCAGGTGACTGGAGTAGGAATTCTCTGCTGTGCTGGTCCAGTCTTGGTGGTAGGCAGCTTTGGCCCACTAGGTCTCTGGTGTGAGGGGTCTCATAAATTGGAAAAACTTTCCTAATGTTAGTAAGCACTCTCTGTTTCTTATTTTCTTTATAGAAATTAAAAAATCCTTAACCTGGCCCATAAAAGCTTACATTTCTCTTCAGGTTTCTTCTCCAAACTTCAGCCACAGTGGACTTACCTGAGCCTCTTTCTGCCAGAGGGCCTGATATATGTGAATATCTGCCTAGAAAGCACTTTCCGATCTACCTCCTTTATAAGTGTATGTGATTACGGAAACTCCACCAGCCTTCTTATCCAGGAATAATACATGCTATGGATGGCACAGCTGAAAAATACAAGCAGCCCTGGTGCTTTATGATCACTGAGTCAGCACAGCAGCCCTGGACCACCTGACTCCACGTTACATGAAATTTGTCTAAGTCTCCTTGTCCCCATTCTCCCTAGGACTCCATTACTGTTAGTTGAATGTAATTCCTAAGACAAACACACACTATCTCCATTTAATCTCATGAGTGAAATGATTAAGAAAACAAAACTTTTGCAACATTAATTACTTTTTCCGCAGTGTTTGATTCTGAAGATCAGTAAGTAGAGTAGAAAACCTCTGATTCCCTTTCTTACATTTTTCTCTCTCCTTTCTTTTTCTTCTAGAAGCTACTGGCCAGTTTCCTTCCTTTAATCCTTGTGCTCTCAGCCTCTTGATCACAACTTTTGATTCTTGCTTTTGTTTTCCAGAACGTACATGCAACATGTTTGCTAGTAATTTCATGCTGCCCAGAGTCATGTCATTTACAAATTGGATAAACATGCATTTTATATTTTCAGATACGTCATCCATCATAAGTGTAGACTAGGACCGGGAGATCACAGACCCCTGGCATACGGCACTAGAATATCTCTCTCAAGGGAAATAGATCAGCAGGCTTTGAATCTGATGAGTCAAATAATGCACTATTTTTTAATAATATGCTACCAGTATTTCTGTAACTTTTCTATAAGAAATTACTGGGAAGATTTCCAAGCAGACTGCACTATGCTAAGGGGAAAACAAGTAGGTTGGCCAGAATTTCAAGGCAAGAAACAAAAATTTTTCAAAGGCCAAAATGTGGAATGGTTTGCTCAAGACTGAGGAAAGCCAGAAAATCAACAGTATTCTGATCAAGTAGTTTGGGTTTTCAGTCAAAGACTGCTCACAATGCACTCAGAGTTACCCTACCAAAAGGACCCCTGCCTTAAGGTAATGGCATTACATTAAGAAAAATGTTTATGAATGAAGAAAATAGTGATTAAAGGTAGAGAAATACGTAATCAGTTTTAACATACACCATGCACGTAGAAGGAGATTCTAATGAGGAATGTGAGAAACGTATGTAGGCAGTGAAGACTGAGACCATGAAGAAAAGAATCCAAATTGCAAATGAAAAAGCTTGACCTGGGCCTTGAAAGAATTTCTGAGAGCTGCAAACCTTTACGTCCTCTCACTATCCCTGGCTGACCTACCACGTGATTGCATATCCGTGTTATTACTACTGCTCTGCTCATTGGCATTACCAACCCTCTGAGGGGAATAGAGAGAAGGCACAAGCTTGCCCTCTTGGTGTTGTGTACAGATGGACTTGTGATGGAGCAAAGCAGGAATCCTGCTGCAGATGTCTCTTCTTGGCATACCTCTCTCTCCAGAGTTTTGGGTCTCTATAAAAGAAATAGGAGATGAGGATGGGTTTAGGGTAAAACAAGGCATACCACATTGAATAGTGTGGCTTAGAATTTGTTGATGCCTAATAGCAGGCGTCCTCAAACTACGGCCCGCAGGCCACATGCAGCCCACCTAGGACATTTATCCAGCCCAGCAGGTGTTTTTGCCACCTCTGCCTGTCCTGCTTAACAGCCAACTTGTCCGGGAGCCCACAGTCCAGCCCTCCAATGGTCTGAGGGCAGTGAACTGGCCCCCTGTTTAAAAAGTTTGAGGATCCCTGCCTAATAGGGATATAGGAGCATTGCACAAAGTATTTTAGCAAATATTTATGTTTTTTTCATTATTGTTTACTTCTATGATTAAGGACGTATGGCTCTAAAGGGAATTTTAGTTATAATTCCTTATTTTCAGTATACCTCTGGGTATTATAGAAAGATTCATGTAATTTAATGGGCAGTCTGTCTTCGAAAAGATTGGGGCCAGAATGTTAACCTAAATAAAAGACCAATATAATCAATTGTAACAATTAGCTGATTTTACCTGAAAAAAAAATTAGCCTAACAATTTTTTTAAGTTAATAGACGTGGTTTTTTAGAGCACATTTAGGTTTACTGAAAAATTGACAGAATACAGAGAACTCACCTAAGTCCCCTCTTGTCCCCACACCTACAAAGTCTCCCCTACTTTTAGCATTATACCTTGATGTGGAACACAGTGATGAACCCACATCAATATATTAATATTAATTAAAGTCCATAGTTCACTCTTTGTTATGTACAGGTTCATGAATTTTGAGAAATAATATTATAATGTCATAGCGTACCTACCTTTACAATATATGGAATAGTTTCACTGCCTTAAAATCCTCTGTGCCCCACCCATTGGTTCCTTCCTTACCTTCTTCTCAAACCCCTGGAAATCACTAATCTTTCTATTGTCTCTATAGTTTTGCCTTTTCCAGAATGTCTGGCTTCTTTGTCTCAGCAATATGCATTTTAGATTCCTCCTTTTGTGGCTTGATAGCTCACTTA